CTGTTAAATCATATATAAATCATCAAAGAAAGGTAAATACAGTGTTCGAATAAAGGACTTAATATTAAATATTATTTAATAACTAAAGTATATATTAAGTCCTTTTATTTATTTTTATTTTTTTTTATTTATTTTTTTTATTTATTTTTTATTTGTTTTTATTTTAATACAGTAAGAATAGGAATGATTTTGGGACTTTAAAAAACGACCGGTTTTGCGTGAAATCCGGTTTTCTGGGTGCTCGGTATTGGGAGAGTTGACTGTACACACATGCAAGTTTTTCAGTAGACATGAACACAAAGGCTTTGTGCCTGCATTTTGCATAATATATAAATTCTCACAGGTGTCTAGCAAAAACAAAAAAGCTACAAGGCTATTTTGGTGCCTGTAGTTTTTTTTTCTTTTTTTTTTTTTTTTTCGTGAGTTTTCCTTTAAGCCAGGATCCAGCTGAGAAAAACAATTTGTTGAAATGTTGTAAAACTGATTTTTTTACAGACTAAAAAATGCGGGAATGGTGAAGTGAGCTGTACAACATAATCAAAATTTGTTTTTTCTCTGGAGCCTGGCTTTAAAATTCCTCAAAATACGGCTTCATAACATATTCTGAATTTAAATCTTTATAGACATTCATATAAGGCAAGAGTGTACTTTAATTGATGATGAAATTAAGTACATACTAAAATGCTTCAGCTCTACAGGGCTACACTCCCAACCCTGGCTCCTTCAGGCTCCTCTTGGACCTAATAGGATTTCTATATGTTACCCTCATAGTCATAGGAACTACCCCCTAAATAAATAATCATTTGTGGGTGCTCATCGAAATTAAAAATGGAGACAAGTCTGCAGCCCCTTTCAGATAGATGTTGCTGCAATATTGCGGTAAGCATGTCGGTATACTAACCGGTCTATACCCTTTCACACAGCGGCTTTGAATGTTACCGCAATATTGCGGTAATCTTACGTACGCTTTTCTGTCTGAAAGGGTTACTAGACGGCTTGGCTACCATTCAAACAGATATTATTTATAATGTGGCCCTACCGAATCTTTATTCAAACTTTTTTTTGGAACCCCTAGACACTGCGATTAAACTGGCTCTAATACCCTTGACATCGTCAGGGGTTTTAGGGGAAAGGGACCCCTCCTCCACCCAGTTGGCCTATTTTTGTATAATATCATTAGAGCACCCCATGGTTGACCTCTGGAACGACCAGAATCCGGCCGTGCGCTTCCAACCGTGTTGCCTAGCCTATAAAAGACCCTCGGGGAGTTGTTTGTGCTGAACCAAAGAGGATACACAGTAGATAGATAGACTAGGCCTACATCCAGGCTTGGCTAAACTAGATGACAAGGCAATGCAAACTAAACAGATTGTGTGTGTTCTGCCATACGTTAGTTTACTTCTACAGTATGTGTTTAAATAATTCACCTACATAAAGTGTATGCATTTACACACTACAGCTACTGAAAGTGGGCCAGAGTAGGGTCTAGAGTAGGCAACTTGCTCAACTTCCAGTACCAAAGAATTTGTAGTGCGCCCTCTCGGAATCTATAACCATCTAAAAGAAACACATCGTATTTTTAATCGAATAATCCAGCTTTGAATCAACCCTCCCTCGAATAGACACCCACTTCAGAGCCTCATTTGGAATAAACGACTCCCTCGAATAAACACCCCAGGCTTTTATTTTCTTCCTCGAATAAACGCCCCCAAATGACTGTAAACAACACAAATTGAAGCAACATCATTCTCAACACATTATACTCCAGTAGAATAGCCTACATTTTTTCTAACCTAGTTGGGATAATAATCTTTATGATCATGTAATAACACATTTCGACGGCAATTATGTGATGTAGTTCCACATTTTCAGGTAAATCAAGGGGCGTTTATTTGAGTATATAGTATACGTATTACCGTACGTATCCCGAACGCCTCCCTCCAATAAACCCTTCTCAACAATTAAATACAGATCATCATACTGTGGACAAATCATATGGATTACATTGGGTGAAAACACAATATGAAGTCGACACTCACCTCATGGTTGGGGAAAATTTTAAGGATAGGCAACTTTAGATGCCCGGAAATGACACTCTCAGACGGTAAAAATGTTTTTTCAAACCGGTGCTCCTCGACAAAATTATTGGCTGCTTCCCGACAGGAATTATTATGCTCCCACCTCCCCTAGACACCCCTCTCCTCACGAGCGTCTCGAAAACCTAATCGAGCACCCATAGTCTATTCTATGCGGAAAGGCGCAAAGTTCTAAACATAAAACCAACAGTCCGAGAGAAGGATTTGTGAGAGCTTTACCCTAGGGCCTGGATCAACCATGGTTCACATTTGTAATATTAAAGGTTAAGATATAATAAGAAATATGAAACAATATAGAGAAAAAGCACCAATGAACGGACATTTCAAAGCATGGATAGCTGTTCTAGCTAGCACTATCATATCGTTATAATGGCTGTATAGTTCTCCGACTTTTGGCCTTTTTTGACATCCGGACATCGTTGGACATCGGGAGTGTTGTGTTCGTCGTCAGGCAAATAGAACATTACAAATTAGTGGTATTAAATAATCGAGCGACCCTATCGCCCACTGTATGGATCCGCCACTGAACCCATAATGGGTGCACTTTTTTATATAGGCCTACAGTATCTCTCTTTCCTTCCTTTTCCTCTTCTCAATATTTGTTTCTCTCTATTTTTAAGTGGGACTGACCCGATCTGGTACACAGCAACAGACTCACTGGTATACGATTATAGACGTACAGTAGCATTTCCAACAATTTAATGATATGAAATCGAAATAAAAACATTGACACTACCTCATCCCTAAGGGCATATTTTTAAGCATTAATATTCGAGCAATAGGCCTATTCCCAATCTCGTATATACATTCTTAATCTGGGTGGGTTCAATTTTGTACATTATAAACCGGCTCTGTTTTAAATCAGAAGACAGTCCACATCTAAAAATGTGTTTACAAAATTAAATATATGAAATAAGTTTAGTACAATGATCAAATGGCAAAGGGTGAGTTCTTTTAGGCCTTCATATTTCGACCTATTTTTTGAGACGTGAACACTCTGTTGATATGTGTTATCCTGCAATGAGATCCGTCTTGTCAGATAATTTTCAGAAATGCGGGTATATTGATCTGCTTTTTGCCATACATCAAGCACTAGTGCTGTCCTCCTACACATGCAACAG